ACCGGCCGAATGCCATCGTAAATACCTGATCATCTCTCTCTCTCTCTCTCTCTCTCTCTCTCTCACTCTCTCTTTCTCATTCTCTTTCTCTTGCTCTTTGCTTTTCTACCTCTTCCTCTCTTAAAAGGTCACCTTAAAAATTCTACATTTAAAAACTTGCCAAGGGCTCTCTCTCTCTCTCTCTCGCTCATTTGAAAATTTTCAACCGTAACATCGGGAATAATTAGCCCTGGTAATCGATTATCGTCTTAACTTTCAAAGCAACATCCCGATGGAAACTTGTACCTCAAACATATATATATATATATACATATATATATGTATCTATTTTCGTTGCGATCATAAAAGTACGTTGTCTCGTCGATCCATTTTATTAAATGTCAACGGTGGATGGTTTTAAATGACACGCATTAAGATGAATTCTCTGACTCGTTCCATCAAAGTTTATTTCGTTCGTTAATCTATTTTCATGGAAATGTCTACTATAGATCATTTCACGTATTATACATCTAACAAGATCCATTATTGGTCGAATAATTATACCGTTCAAACGATTCTCGTTTATTCGAGATATATCAGATATGCAAGGGGGGTGGGGGACTGTTAAACAAATTTAATATTTATTTATAACGTAAATCACATACGTTTGTTATTCTTCAAAATAATTTCCATTCATTTCGATGACTTAGAGACGAAGAAAAAAAAAACGATTACGATTTGTTTTGAATTTGCAATGAATTTAATATTAATTCAACGAATTATAATTACCACACCTAATACACGATTACTTGTTTTTTAACACGCTTAACACAGATATAACGTTTTTATTTTATATATTATAAACTAAATATCATTCATTGCTAGATAATTATCAATATCTTCTATTTCTATTTCCTTTTTAACTACCAGTCTCAAACGAGAATCTCAAATTAGTTATGATTGTGGATAACTTGATTTAAACGCTCGTTGAACAATATTCGCGATTGGATTTGTTAATTATCGCAACGGCAACATCATGTCAAACGCGTATTCCATATTAATTAAGTACTAATTCAGGTACTATTGTGTATCGCAGTTCCTGATTCACAGTGGCAGCTTCGCTCTGGGTCTAGGTTAGTACATACGTACTATATTCGTCTATGCTATTGAACAATATTTTTATTAGCTATTAAAATTATCGCTTATAGAACATTTTTTATTACAATATCAAAAATTGTCTTCTATAGTTTTACTTATTTATTATAATTATAATTACATTATATATTATATATTATTGTATTATATTATATTATATTATC